CCTTCCTTTCTGAGCGGACTCCACTGATTCTAGAACCAGTGCGATGAAACTGTACTCGAGAGCTGTGACAAATTGTTAGACCCAAAATCCAAGAAGGCAACCATTTCTCACTGCCCAACCATTTACTCCCAGTTCATTTCTCTTCTTGCCCAAACAAAATTCCAAAATTCATCATGATAGTCACACCCCTGTAAATACCCTCAAGTCCCTGCTCTCTCACCTCTGCTCTTTGCAGTTGGCAAGACCAGCCCTGGATGAACCCTGACTTCATGCCTTCTCGGCATCTGTATTGTGAGATCTAAACATTACCGGAGAAAACAAACTAAACCAACGAACAGGCCTAATGTTATATTTACTATTGCAAACTGTAAATGGCAGTTTTATTATTGTTGCCATCCTAAATGTAGCTAAGTTACTTTAAAGAAGCAACATGTAAAACTGACGGCCAACTTTAAGACAACACAATGGGAGACAAAACACTAAATGGTATATCCATAGAATACTGAAAAAAAACAACCTACCATGTTAGAATTCTATAGACAGCAAAGCAGATATTTTTCAAGAATGAAGGTAAAATAAAAACATGTAGAGACTAACAAAAACTGAGATACACATCACCAGCAGGCCCATATTAAATAAAATACTTTAAGAACATATTTTAGCAGAATGAAAATATTCCTACACAGAAGACCAAAGAATTAGGAAGGAAAAAAGAGCAACAAAAATGTCAAATATATGCAAGTCCCCCTCTTCAAAAAATATTTACTTTAAAAAAATTAATGTCTTGTCAGGTTTAAAATACATAATTAAAATACACAACTGTAACACCTAAATAAATAGGGAGATGAATGGACTTAAAGGAAGCTAGAGCCCTGGCCAGGTGGCTCAGTTGGTTGGAGCATCATCCAGTATACCAAAAGAGGTTGCATGTTAGATTCCTGATCAAGGCACATACCTAGCTTAGGAAGAACTCAGCAAGAAGAGCATATGATGACAACTATAAAATCATATTGAATGGTAAATTTAAAAATCTGAGCAGCCCTAGCTGGTTTGGCTCAGTGGATAGAGCATCGGCCTATGGACTGAAGGGTCCCAGGTTTGATTCCGGTCAAGGACACATGTCCGGGTTGCAGGCTTGATCCCCAGTAGGGGGCGTGCAGGAGGCAGCTGATCAATGATTCTCTCTCATCATTGTTTCTACCTCTCTCTCTCCCTCTCCCTTCCTCTCTGAAATCAATGAAAATATATTTAGAAAAATAAATAAATAAAATAAAAATCTGAGCAAATGAAAAGACATCCATCTTCTTAGATGGGATAACTGAATATTAAGTTTCTTAATATCATAACAATGTAGAATTAAAAAGCAAGTTAAGCCCTAACCGGTTTGGCTCAGTGGATAGAGCATCGGCCTGCAGACTGAAGGGTCCCAGGTTTGATTCCGGTCAAGGGCATGTACCTTGGTTGTGGGCACATCCCCAGTAGGGTGTGTGCTGGAGGCAGCTGATCGATGTTTCTCTCTCATCGATGTTTCTAACTCTCTATCCCTCTCCCTTCCTCTCTGTAAAAAAAAACAATAAAATATTTTTTTTTTAAAAAAAGCAAGTTAAATTTGTGTTCCTAAAAGAGAAAAGGAACATTAGGTAAATGCTGAGGAAATATGAATGAATGATATAAGGATTGTAGTTAATACTAATGCATCAATATGGATTCATTAACTGTAACATACATCATACTAATGTAAAATGTTAATAGGGGAAACAGGGTAGAGAATATATGGAAACTGTTCTATCTTCACAATTTTTCTGTAAATATAAACTTCTAAAAATAAAGTTTATTTTAACAAGCATGTTTATAAGACAATCAGGTAAGTTTTCAATAACACAAATGTAATTCCAATTAAATGGATAAAAGTATCTTAAAGTTTAGAGTGAAAATACCCAGTAAAACAAATAAATGAATGAAAAAGAAAGAATATATATAAGATAGCCACTTTAATTAAATCAATATGGAACATTACTCTAGGCATATAATCAGTAGAACAGAGAATCCAGAAATAAAACCCAGTTGATATGAGATTTTAATATATATGACAAAAATGTATTTCAATTCAATGGGAAAGAGTGATTATTTAATAAACGGTGCTGGCACAACTGGCTATCCATCTGGTAGAATATAGTCAGTCCCCAATCTCATAAAATAAAAACAAATTCCAGATGGAGTAAATAAGCAATGTAATAAATAAAGCATCAAAGAGTTAGACAGAAACCTAGGAAACAACTTTTACAGTCTGTTTATTAACCAGAAAGAAAAGAGAGCCATATTTGAGTTTATAAAAGTTAAAAATGCAAATAATAGTAAAAAGTCATAGATTACTCCATCCCCAATCAGATAAAAGAAAAGTTACTGACAAGATAAAGAGAAAAATAATGTAATTTGTTTAGAACTGTTTTGAAAGCAATCTGACAAATATTTTTAAGTTAACAGTACACAGACACTTCAACCAACAAATCACACTCCTGGGAATCTATCCCATAAAAATAAAGTAACCAATAAAATGTTTATTATAGTATTGCTCTTATGGCCAAAACAAAAACAAAAAAACCACCAAAAAACACGAGGTAACAAAATGAGTTCCCAACAATAAGGTAATAAATAATGGTACATTTATACTGTAGAATTATAAGCAGCTATTAAAAACAATAGATTAAGCTATACCATTTGACTTGGAGAAATTTTTCTGGGTGTATTTTTTAATGATAAAAGTGAGATAGAGAGAAGTGCATATACAATAATCCCATTTTTAAAAAACAAACATTGATCACAACCCAAAGGTATGTCCGCCCAATGTGTGTGTGTGAGTGTGTGTGCGGCGCGTGCGCATGAAAGGTGAACATGGAGACAAATACAGAAGGAAATGCACCAGGTCCCCAGCACAGATTACTGGTAGTGTGAGGGGGGAGGGGCAGGGATGCGCAGGGGGTGGGAAGAAAAAAATGAGCAGAATGTATAATACGATTGCACTGATGTTAATCAGAAACCTGCTACAACATGAGTTAGGATATAACATAATTGGCATGAGTGTCCCTCCTCCACATAGTCCCCATCCTCAATCTCCCTCCTGGTCATTTGGCATTTCCTTGTGCAGTGAACTATTAGTCCGGTACAATATTAAATCCTATATTAGGTCTTACAATCTTTTGTGCATGTTGTGACAATCCTACCCAAAAATATTGTTTTCCATTAACATTTAATAAAATTGAATTTTTCGACCCCACTTTTCAAGTTGGGGTGCAGTTTTATACACAAGCACAAGTAAGTACCTATAAATAAAGAAATTATAAAAATAAGGAGCTGGTAGTTATACATTTACTGATGAATATCCATCAAACGACAAAACTAATTACAGAAAAATATGCATTAAGTATTCTATTTCAGTAAAAGCAACCAAACCTTAATTATAAATGTATGCCTAAATACTTTTTTTGTGCATAATCCACACCTGAGGATATTCTTCCCATTGATTTTTAGAGAGAATGGAAGGGAGGGAGGGTGTGGGAGAGAGAGAGAAAGAAATATCAATGTGAGAGAGACACATCGACTGGTTGCCTCCCGCACACGCCCTGATTGGGGCTGGGGATCAAACCTGCAACCCAGGTACATGCCCTTGACCAGGGATCGAACCCGAGACCCTTTGGTGCACGGGCTAACACTCTGACCACTGAGCTACACTGGCCAGGCTTAAATCCTTTTAAATGAAAGTGAAAGCTTCAGAAAGTTGGCACAGGTTACCCAAAGGGAAGGAAGCATAGGGGAAGGGGCAGATTATCAGCTTTGCTTTTATACCTCTCTGTATCTTACCATTTCACCTATTACAATAAACAAAAAAGCACTGCTTTTTAAATCTGAAAATATTAAGCAGTGAAAACAAAGATAAATTGCAAACAATAAAAGAAAATAAATTGGGTATTAATTAGCACCTCCCTCAGAAGATCCTTGTAAAATTACATAAGATAACCTATGTAAAGTGTTTAGCATACTGCCTAACATATTGCATATGCTCAATAAATGTTAGCTATTTATTTATTTATTTTTTACGAAGACTGCAGACAGCAGTGGAATTTACAAACCTGAAAAGATAAGGCCTTTGAAAATGACAGGGCACTTTTTCCTGTATTTCTGAATTTGGTCTCCTTTGGTGGGCAAGGATTCATATTATGATAACCATAGAGCTCATTAAACATACTTTCACTGATAGTAAAAATAAAATTATAATTGGATTTTTTTTTTTTAGAATTTTTATGAGTTTATTTCAGCCAAACTGATGACATACTGGGAGCAAGACCTCAAATGCTCCACAATTAGATTTTTTAAAATATATTTAAACAATAAAAAGGAGATGATAATCTTTTTGCCTTGAAGGCTACTTTAAGAACTTCAAGCCTGGCTGGTGTGCTCAGTGGTTGAATGTTGACCTATGAACCAGGAGGTCACAGTTTGATTTCCAGTAGGGGCACATGCCTGGGTAACAGGCTTGATCCCCAGTAGGGGGCATGCAGGAGGCAGCTAATCAGTGATTCTCTTTCATCATTGATGTTCCTATCTCTCTCTCCCTCTCTCTTTCTCTCTGAAATCAATAAAATATATTGGGGGGAAAGAACTTCAAGCATCTTAAGGCATATGCTTCTATCACAACCACTTCAGATAGAGATACGTGGATCCTGGATATTTCCCACATGTCAGAGAAGAATTAAAACACAATTCATAGAGATTGGAGAGTGGTGCCATTGATCTTTTTGAGAGCCTGTCCACATGGGAAATCCATTCCTAAAGGCAGAAATTCCATTCCTAATTCTAAAAATTTCTTTGTTGGTCTGCCTAAAAGCATGTCAGTTTAGTTATAATCTACAAACCGAATTTGGCACATCGATACTATATTCTATTATCCAGTGAAACATTAAGTTCATAAATGGCATGAGTGTGTTATTAGTCTTGCTACTTACATGGAGTTGACTTTCTCTTCAGGGCCTTGCACTTGACCTGTAACAGTGCCTTTGTTGGTATTCTTCACCCAGCCAACCACTCCTATTTTCTTAGCCTCACCTTCTGTGTACTGGTTTCAGGAGAAAACAAGAGAAAGAAAGTCCATCATCAAACGTCAGAATTTATAACACTTGATTCTAACATTCAAAAAGCACTAAGCTGATAATTTCTTCCTAAAATTATACAACTGACCAACAGTAATTAATACCTCTATTTATAACAAACTTCACTTAAGTGGAATTTTTGTTAAATTCCACTGTCAGTAAAGACAAGCATGTTGTGAGAAAATAAACTGATCCTGGGAATTACTTCAAAACACAGTTTTTATGATGTGTTTGGGGATTAATAAAATTCAGTTGCATTCCCTTGCATCAGCTAACACAAAATTACATTGTTAATCTGGGTTTCTAATGATGACCACTCTAAAATTCCCAATCACTGAGAAAAATATCCAGTTTTAAGCAACAGAAAGTACTGGGTTAAAATATTCTGTTGCTTTCTGAATTATAACAAATGTTATAATTCTCTAGGTAAATTTATTTTTCTTATTATTCTTTTTTTAAAAATATATTTGTATTGATTTTAGAGAGGAAGGGAGAGGAAGAGAGATATAAATCATCAATGATGAGAGAGAATCATTGACCAGCTGCCTCCTGCCCTCCCTCTTCTGGGGATCGAGCTCGCAAATTGGGCATATGCCCTTGACCAGAATCAAACCCAGGACCCTTCAGTCCAAAGACTGATGCTCTACCCACTGAGCCAAACCAGCTAGGGCTTCCTATTATTCTTAATAGGTTGTGTGTTTTTTAAGTCCTTTTCCTGGTTCCAAATTCACTTATGCTACTGGCAAATAAAAACCTAGAAATATTTTTTTTAAATTTTGTTTAAATTTATTTTTAGAGAAAGAGAGGAAGGGAAAGAAAGAAACATCAATGTAAGAGCAAAACATCGATGGGCTGCCTCCTGCACTCCCTCTACTGGGGATCGAGTCCGAAACCTGGGCATGTGCCCTGACCAGCAATCTAATTGCAAACCTTTTGGTGCACTGGATGATGCCCAACCAAACCACACCAGCCAGGGCAAATCCTAGCAAAATTTTTATTTTGAGTCATTTTAACTACATCATACTAAAATTCTTGTGGACCCATTCTAACTAGAACTTTTTAAAGACATGTTCTGTTTGGAAGCCAGGGTGACCACGATCTCTCTCTACGTTCCAAACAATATGAAGCAACCCAAACTAAGATGGTTACAGCTAGGGTTGATGTATGAGCTGGTTCTGAAAGTAAGTCAAGCTCTCATAGGTAATAACAAAAAAAGAGACAATCTGATCTGTAGAGGATACAACTATGTCAAAATGTGGAGGCATATAGGTGGGACCTGTTAGAGTACTCAGAGGTTAGGAACAGAGACCTAATCTAGGGTCTGCCGGCTCAGATAAGTCGGTGAAAATACAAGTCACATTTAACTTTTAGGAAAGGAGTATAATAACAAAATCAATATTTTAAAGGCAACAAGTAGTTTTAACTTATAGAAACCTGGGGACCACTACGTTATGCAACATGAGCATGTTTCGTTATGCAATTTGAGACACATGCCCTTGGGTAGAGGGTTTCTTCCATCCAGAACAAGTGGAAGATCCCATATTTGTATTAATATACCTAATCAAAAGGTTTAACTTAACCACCTCAAGAGAGTTATTTTGAAATTCATAGAAAATATTAGCTAAAGGCTAAGAACGCTGTAATGTTTTTAATAGACTACTTTGTAAAGACAGCTCTCATAAAAACCTCAACCAGTAATTTGTATGTGAAGAAATAAAAAATACATTTTTATTTGCTGTCAAGGATGGGAAATAAGCAGTAGACCAGCACTAAGTAGAAAGCTGCTCTATATTTGTGATTAGAAATAACTGTGGAGAAAAAAATGTACCACCACCCCCCACCAAAAGCAGATTATATTGACTTACCATTCTGAAGCAGACACCTGTATAAAAGAAAGATAAAAATAAAGTCAGCTTGTCTACCTTTAAAAAAAATCATATATTTCCTAACTTAATTTTCACCTATTTTATTCAATAGTAAGTAAATGAAATGAACAAAATTTTTAATGTCTGAATATATTCAAAATGTGTTGTAAAAATTTATTTTCTTTTAAAATAAAAAGATAAAGGGAAGATCACTTTTGGGAAAAATTAGTAATCTGAATATATCATTCAAAGTATGATAAAATGCCAAACAGTATATTTAGTCTATTTTAAAATGCTAACTAAAATCAAATGCTTATTACAAGGTCAGTTGAGTATATTTGATATAACATTTACCTATCCTCAGCTTTTAGAATTTCTTCTTTAACGACAAGGACTAAATCTAAGTTGAAATGTAATAAAATGTTTCTGTTTTAATGTTAATTCCACCTTCTGGAAAAGGCAAACTACAGGGACAGGAAACATCAGTTGCAAAGGGTTGAGAGGGGAGAGAGGAGCGCTGCAAAGGGCACCCGGGAACTCTGGGGGATGATGACAGCGCTCTGTATATCTCCACTGTGGTGATTACATGACTGTCTGCATGTTTCAAACCCATGAAACTGTTCACTAAAAAGGGTGAATGTTAGCCCAGCCGGTGTGGCTCAGTGGTTGAGCGCTGCCCTATGAACCAGGAGATCGGGGTTGGATTCCCAGTCAGGGCACATGCCTGGGTTGAGTGCTAGATCCCCAGTGTGCGGCATGCAGAAGGCAGCTGATCTATGATTCTCATCATTGATGTTTCTAGCTCTCCCTCTCCCTTCCTCTCTGAAATCAATAAAATTATTTTTAAAAGAGGTGAATGTTACTGAATTTAAATTATATCTCATTTGAAAAAAAAATTAGAAGAAAAAACTCGGGAAATCACAGGGGATGAATCAGGCAAAAGATATTGCTTCAATATACAACAATTGAGCCTGGTTAAGAAAATACAGAAGGATTCAGTGGGTTAGGTAATTTTATGTAATTCTGTAAGTGGATTTATAATAAGAAATATCATTTGTTTCTTGATGATAGTGTATTGTAGCACCAAAAGAATATAAAGAAAAAGAGTAGTAAAGCAATAAAAACAAGATAACCTCACAAATGGAATTTTTGTAGGGCTATAAAAATATTTTAAATGCTACATATAAAAGGTGGAGGAATGATGAGTGGAAGTATTGATCTGAAAGGGAATCTGTTATATAGTTGGAGGGAAAGACATTAGCTAGCAGATATAAAAGAAAGTGCCAGAAAACTCAAGAAAATTTTCACACCATGTAGAAGAGAGAGAGACAAAACAGGAGAGAAAACGGCACAACTGTGGGCCCGTGTACAGTGGTTTACCCTAAGAGTGAGACGATCCTGGAAGGCCCAAGTAGAGTTGAAGGTTTGGTCACTGCTGCACTGTGCATATTCCCCTCTGAGCTCCTCAACAGTGAAGAGCGCTGCCTGCTGTTAGGTTAGCATCATGAAAAATAAGCGCAATGCAACTGAAGTAAACAGACATTGGAAACATCTGGTCCAGCTTTTTCCTGCTCCAAGAGTGGTCCATGGACCAGCAGCATCAGCAGCACCTGAGAGTATTTTGCTTTCCTTTGTGTGTGTGTGTGTGTGTGTGTGAGAGAGAGACTTTTAAAAAAATTGAGATATAATTCATATAATATTAAATACCCCTTTTTAAAGTGTTCAAAGTATACTAAATATACAGTGATATTTAGTAGATTCACAGTTTTGCAACCATCACCAGTAGCTAATTGCAGAACATTCCCATCACCCCAAAAGGAAGCCCCCTCACATTTTCCTTTAGCATTCATTCCCCATGCCCCCCTTCCCCCATCCCTCGGGGAAGTCAGGGCCAAGGCCCCTGTGATGTCCTTGGCCTTTCCCTCTAGGTTTTGGGAGGGCTGCTGGAGCGCAAATCATAGTCACCCTACAGTCAGGAGCAGGGAGAGTAGAAAGGGAAAACCTTGGCTGAGGACGCCCCTGTCAGAGCTTTCCTGCAAGCCTCAACCAAGGGCCTGCTGATGTTGGTCCTTCCCACCTCTACCTGTGGGAGAACAGCAGTCATTCTCCAGTTTGGGACCACACCGCTTCCCTGACTTTTCCTATCACTCCACACCAAAAACCCTGCAGTCCAGATCATCTTGCAGTACTGAAACCAGGACTAAACAGTTGTGCTCCCTCTAGATTTTATAACTTCCTTCTGGAGGAGAAAACTTCTTTGCCCTCAGGATAGTTCCTTCTTTGAGGAGGAATAGCCATCAATGTGCCACCCTTGGCCACTCTCTACACTCTCTACCCTGTTTCTGATTCCTCCTTTGAGATAAGGAGTGACCAATCTAATGGGTACATTTGGAAGGAGAACCATGCACAGCCCAAGTGCTTCCTTTCCCACCTTCTCCTGGGAGTGAGTTACCCTCAGAGGTCATGCCTTCTGCCCTGCCCACAGGGAGGCCTGCCAGTGCCTGGCGGCGGTGTCTGATTTGGCAGTACAGCTTATAACAAGGTGCACTTACCTGAAGAAACACACCACATCCCCCAAACCCTGCTTTATTATTTTTTTAAAATATATTTTTATTGATTTAAGAGAGGAACGGAGAGGGAGAAAGAGATAGAAACATCGATGATGAGAGAATCATTGACCGGCTGCCTTCTGCACGCCCCCCTACCAGGGATCGAGCCAGAAACCTGGGCATGTGCCCTGACTGGGAATGTATCCTGGACCTCCTGGTTCATAGGTCTATGCTCACCCACTGAGCCACACCAGCCAGGCTCTGCTTTAGTCTTGGCCTTACTTGTCAATCAATAACTCACACAATGAAGAGAGGTGTTATTTACTCAGCCCCTCAACCACGGCCCCTATTTTAAAGCCTTAGAAGGAATTCGCAGCAAGAGGTGACAGGACCTCCAGGCCCGTTAACTTTGAGAAGCAATGAACCACGCGGGAATTAGCATTCAAAGCTCCATAATCCACTTGGAATTTCCCCAGAATCTTTCTGAGAGTCCTGATCCCTAGTCTGAAGCATACTGTGCAACAGAAGGAGGCACACAAAGAAAACAAGAAGCCAATTGGGGACAGATTTTCTGCAGCCGATTGGCACTGGCTGGAGCAGAGCACTCATGGGACGCAGCCTGTGTGGGAGCCGTTCCTATGGGCTTTTGTGGCCTCTCTGCACTGCTTCCACCTCGTCTGCTAAAGAGCAAGGAAGCTGATATGACACGGACAGGTTTTGTACAGACACACTGCTCTGGAAACTGGGACAGGCATCAGCCCCTTCAGTTATGAAAGACTCAAGCGCGATATGCTGCTCAGCCGAGGCTCAATCCGCTGCAATGGCACCTCACTCTGTGCAAAGATGTGTCCGTGAGCAACTCTGAGGTGAATATTGCAAAGGAAATACTATTTTAAATCTACAAAGAAATACTGGTATTCAAGAAATCATACGATGTCAGCCGCCTTTCATGCAAAATCAAATTTTCCTATTGTAATGTACCCCTTCATCCTGGGGTCTGACTGCAGGTGTCAATTTTGAATGCAGACAGTCACCACCTTACAAAGCAGCCCTTAGTGATTTTAAACACCTTAGTGGCTAGAAAGGCCTTCTTTATGTGGAATAAAATTCTGCCTCATTTCACCCTTTCTCCATCCATCCAGGGTCTGTCCCCTGGAGCCACACACCACAGCATCTTTCAAATAGTTAACACTTGGAGTGGGGGAAACGAGTTAAGTCAGCTCGCGTGAATTGCGCGTACTCCGCGGGAGCCGTCTTTAACTCGGTTCATATAGATTTGCGGTGGAGTGCGGGAAACGTGTAAACTCGGGCCGATTGTAACTGCGTATTACCAAATATTTGTTTGTAATCCACCCTTTTGGTGGATGGAACAAAACCAAAAGACAGAGCCATCTTATATTTTGGCGGGAAATTCACCCCACACCGGAGTGTTAAGCTGGGCACCACACTAAGGTGTTTTCTCCAAGTCAACTATCCCAAGCACTTTAATTTGAGACACTTCTGAAGTCCCCAGGACAAGCACAGCGTGCAGGGGCTATAAAAACAAGCCACCAGCTTGACCTTCAAAATACTGTCCTTATTGTCTAATGAGAGACACAGACATGAGTACACAAATAACTGCAGTGGAAAGCAAAATGGGTTAAAGTAAAATCAAGAAGTAGAACAGAACTATAAATGAAACGCTACGGGAACAAAGACGAGAAAAGGAAGTAGAAGCCACTCCTAACACCAAGCTAACACTATCAAAAACACACTTGCATTTCTACAGCACAGGGAAACCAGCAGATGGCCACAATCCATGTGCACGGTGCCATTGGCGCTCACCTGAGAGCTGGTAAAACATCAGAGAACCCATGCACAGCTTAATCGATTTCCCTTTCAAACTTTCGGAATATATTAGTCTAGAATTCAGTGGTTCTCAAACTTCTGGCCCTTTTAAATACAGTTCCTCATGTTGTGACCCAACCATAAAATTATTTTCGTTGCTACTTCATAACTGTAATGTTGCTACTGTTATGAATCATAATGTAAATATCTGATATGCAGGATGGTCTTAGGCGACCCTTGTGAAAGGGTCGTTCGACCGCCAAAGGGGTCGCGACCCACAGGTTGAGAACCGCTGGTCTAGATGGACTGTAATGAAACATAAGGAACATGATAAACCATGCCATGGCTACAAATGCTCTAAAAACACAGGTGTTCAGCCTACTGATCCTCATCTCAAAGTCCCCAACGCACAGAAGCTGGGGAGGGGAAACATGGAGCTCCCCGAAAATGTGGAGATTAAAAAGGAGAGGATGGCCCGGCCCCTCCCTCCTCCTCCTCCTCCTCCTCCCCGAGCTCACCGACCACCACCCCCGCCCCGCCCGGCCCGCTCTCCAGCGCATGCGCATCTCGCCGCCTCCCCCTCGGCTGCTGTGTCACGGCCGAGCGGAAGTCCGGGCCCAGGAGGGGGACCCCCTCTCTGTCCTCTCCCTTCCTCCCCTGACACCTCCCCGGCCTCCCACAGTAGGGGGTCCCCTACCCTGCACTCTCCCGAACACCTCGTAGTCCACGGATTTGAGGGGCCCCGCGGTAGACATGGCGGCGAACCCGCTGCGGAGGAGCAGGAGCGAGAGGAGCGGGGTTCGGGGCGCGGCGACTGCGAGCAGGAGGGGGCACATGGGGCCGCGCGGCGCACCCCGCGCCGGGTCACGCGCGGGACGGCGGCAAATGAGACGGCGGGCCCGGGGGCGAGGGCGGCGGGACGCCGGGAGGACGGGCCGGGAGCGAGGGCGGCGGGACGCCGGGAGGACCGGCCGGGAGGACAAACCGCTCGCTCCCCCCCCCCGCCCCCCTCTGCTGGGACCGAGCGGCGCGCCCGCCCCGTGTGTGTCGGTAAGGCCGGTGCTGTGCCCAGACGTCAGGAGCTCGGTTCCCAAAATGAGTGCTTTTGAAAGGACAGACCTGCTCATTGGTGATGCGGAGGCTGTGGCGGCTGTGGCTGCTGAGTTTGTATTAAACGGGTGAGCGTCCGCCGAACCTGCCGGCCGGAGCCCATTCCTGGGAGGATGGCTGCCTCCCCCGCCGCCTCTAGGGAGTCAGAGGCTGTGGGCCTCCATCCGTGTTCTCCATGAATTCTGGCATATTTGGGGGCAAGACACTTTTAAAAATATAAATTCTTTTATGTTAGTGGAAACAGAAAAGAAAGCTTATCTCCTGTTCACTATTACAGCATTTTTGTAGTTTTGATTATTTTCCAGCAACATCCCAATTGCCTAGATTTAATCATTTAAAATGGCCTGTGATCATCAAGTATCTGAGGCCCTGCCTAGATTGAGCTAAAATTTTAAAATTTTGCCCAAAGTTTCTTCTGCTCAGTTAAGTTTTCTAGGTAATTTTTTTGAGAGCTCATTCTGTGGCATATACGTAGAAAGCTAACATTAAAAAAAAAAAAGTTAAAAAAAGAAAGCTAACATCCTCAGGCTTCATGACAACCAGAAAGTTTAAACCACAATACACAGCAAGCATTTCAGTTTAAATCTTTTGCCTTTGTGCTACTAGTATATTAAAATATGCCCTGAAAACAGGCATAATGCCATGAGGTGAATAACATGGTACCTGACAGTCCCTATTTGTATGGAAAATATGCTAATGAATCCTGTCCATACAGAAAGTAAAAGTGAAGTCAGATTTGTTTTTTCTATCTGGGTTTATCTGGATTCAGCATCTAAAAACACTGATTTCCACTGTCCTGAAGGGAATAATATGGAGGCTGAACAGAAATGGCTGGTGTGCAAGGTCAGTTACCAAACAATCCACCAGAGGAAGACAGGCGTAACCCAGGATGAGGCTGGTCAGAGTCAAGGTAATGCTAAGGGCTAATAAGAGGCGTTTACAGAAGCCCCTGCGCCTTTTCAAAGGAGTCCAAGGCTCAGCTCTACCCAGGCCCCCAGAACTCAAGCCAACCTATGGGAAACAGACGCAACATCCTCCAGATGTTATTTCCACTCGTGGATTGTGTTTATGTGTCTGTTTTTTGGCTTGTGCTTGTTTTTACTGGCCAGAGCTCTATCAGGCCTAATGCCCGCTCTTTATAACAAACATTTTGTAATGCTGCCTCTGCTATCCTGAAATGAAATGCATGGGTAATATAATTTACCCAAAACATTTGTGAACCAACATAATGATCTAACGATACAACAAAGGATAAATAACACACACTTATAATAAAATAATATATATCAGAATGTAAACTCTTAGGCACTGAACGGCTCAGACCTACGGGTACTATCACTGTGAATCCAGCAACCACAAGTTTGATCAGGTACTGGAGATGCACAAACCATGGGCACTGTTGGCTGAGCCATGAGTTTTCAAAATAATGAACACTTCTTAGTAATGCTCCCAGCAAACAATGTTTAATCTTCTCTTGGCTCACATAGTAGTTACATTCCTAGAACATTTAGTGAACTTAAAAATATATAGAACTTTATATAAAACTAGAGGCCCAGTGCACAAAAATTTGTGCACTCAGGGGGGGGTCCCTCAGCCCGGCCTGTGCCCTCTCGCAGTCTGTGACCCCTCGGGGGATGACCACCTGCTGGCTTAGGCCTGCTCCTCAGGGGATTGGGCCTAAGCTGGCAGTCAGACATCCCTCTAGGAGCCCTTGGGGGATGTCCACTTGCCAGCAGGGAGCAGGCCTAAGCTGCAGTCGGACATCCTTAGCGCTGCTGAGGAGGCGCGAGAGGCTCCCACCACCACCGCTGTACTGGCAACCATCAGCCTGGCTTGTGCCTGAGCAGATCTCCCCCTGTGGGAGCTCACTGACCACCAGGGAGCAACTCCTGCATTGAGCATCTGCCCCCTGGTGGTCAGTGTGTGTCATAGTGACCAGTCATTTCCAGTTCTGCTGTTAGGGTTAATTTGCATATTAGCCTTTTATTCACAAATGAGTGCACAATGCAGCTGTGAGGTGTTCTAAGGAGGCCAGAGTATTGTGAAGGAATTGAGGAACAAAGACCTTAATGACTCCTGAAAACAGAAGTTAGTATCTGAACCAGAACTAAGCCTTAGTTCTCCTGACTTCTAGATTCATGCCCCCGCCCCCTTTTTTTCCATCATGCAAAAACGGGGAAATGTGATCTTATAAATCAGGACTTTTCAGAAGACTCTGGTCATGTGGTTATTATAATTGTAACATAATGTTCCCTTTCATGGAGTCTCCAGACATTAACTCAGTTAAGCTTCCCAACTCTACATCAAGGTGAGAATTATTTCCATTTCACCTTTTTTCACTCAGGTTCAATGCCTTCTCCATTTGTCAGTCAGATTCATGAGGGCAGGTTCCGTGTTTGTCTTATTCACTGATGTATCCCCACCCTCAATGCCTAGCATATGCAGGCAGTCAATAAAAATGTGTTGAGTCAATAAATGAATGAATGGAAGACTAACCTAGATTGAAAATTCTCTGTGGAGATGTGTTCTTTTCAATATGTCTTCATTTGTCTTGATATTCCCTTATGTGGCTACGAGAATTTTGTAAATTCTTTTTTTGGGGGGAGGATTTAGTAAATTTTTAACTAGTCTGCTGAATTAGTTCAAATTTTAAAAAGATTAGGGATGTCACCATCTCTTCTCCTCTTAAGATGATCAACCATCCTGTTTGGCTCAGGACTGTCCCAGATTTAGCACTGAAAAGCCTGCATCTGCCCGGCCAGCATGGCTCAGTGGTTGAATATCAACCTATGAACCTGGAGGTCATGGTTCAATTCCCAGTCAGGGCACATGCCTGGATTGCAGGCTTGATCCCGAGGGGGAGGGGGAGGGGGGAGAGGGACAGGGGGAGGGGGAGGGGGAGGGATAGGGGAGGAGGAGGGGGAGAGGGAGAGGGAGGGGGTCAACAGAGCCAAATATCAACAGTACAACGATTGAAATTTCTTTTGAGATCCAAATTTTTTAAACTTAAACTATATACATTGTTATTAACTTAATTAGGGTACTCCTAAGGCTTAGGAAGAGCCACACTCAAGGGGCCAAAGAGCCGCAATTTGCCGACCATGGGTAGAAGGTTAAAGCAGTTTATTATGCTTAGAAAATTTTACTTCCTGGTGAGCTAATATGAAATCTTAATTTAAAGCAACCCATCACTCCAAAGAATCTGGATACAGCTATTGATCATCTGCTGCCATGTAGGATTCCAAATCCTTTCACTCTGAGAATTTGCATTTCTCAACATATCTGTTGGCTTCCAGACCTTTACATATGTCTCTGCATTTGGCCATAAAGCTAAAATAATCCTCTGCGATCTGACTCAATATTTTGTGCCAGTTCTGTTAGAGAACACCACAAATCATCTAAAACTTGTTTAGAATGTGGTTAAATCATTTTAAAGTAAAATATATCCCGGAAGTTCTAATTTAGATAATTTTAAGTAATGAGGTTCCTGGTTTATTACAGAGACCTCACAATTTGTCTTCCTCTCATCTCCCTTCCAGTTCATTCTTTTCAATACCATATCTTCAAAGTCTCTCTGCACTACATTCCAACAAAATCAAAGGCTTCAGCCTTCACTAACCTCTGATTACCTGCTTAACCCCATCCTATAGGTCCGTGGTCGGCAAACTTCGGCTCTCGAGCCACATTCGACTCTTTGGCCCCTTGAGTGTGGCTCTTCCTAAGCCTTAGGAGCACTCTAATTAAGTTAATAACAATGTACCTACCTATATAGTTTAAATTTAAAAAATTTGGCTCTCAGAAGAAATTTCAATCGTTGTACTGTTGATATTTGGCTCTGTTGACTAATGAGTTTACGTATAGGTTATAGGTAACCTATAATCAAGACACTTTGAATTATTCTGCTCTCTGAACACAAACTGACCTTATTTTTAAAAAATATTTACTCTCGGATCTACTTTATGTAGGCTATCTCCTGACACTCCCAAATCTTCCCCTATCCTGTCCAGTGGCCTGTGCAAGTATGTACCAGATTTCATCCTAATTATTTAGTGTCTTTCCCACTAGTACTGCGCCTTCCAAGAAATAAGATCTCAAACTGGATTGAGGTCCTGTCACCATCACTAATCCTGTCACTGAGTGGAAAGGATGTCATTTTCCTTTTCATAATTAATCTTTGACTTTTTCCACATTTACCCACGTGTACCCCTGTCAATTATTATGTAGCTGTATTGTAATTTTAGTAGTGCTATAGCAACAATTGACATTGCTTAGCTAAAAAATGTCCTGTGTCTGCCAACAGCAGTACATCAGCAGACAGAAATTTTTATGTACCATTTAAGCTTGGAATGCCAACAATATGTGATTTGAATACTTTAGAAATTTTAAGCAAATGTTACTAATATTTAAGCTAATTTTAAATAACAGAAGGAAAATTTTATAACTCTAACCCAACCTTAATCATTTTTAGTATTCTCTTCATGTATTATGTATGCATATGAATATGTATATATGTATACTTATCTTTTTTTTCATTTCAGAGAGAGAGAGAAGATAAAAATATCAATGATGAATGAGAATCATTAATTGGCTGCCTTCTGCATACTCCCTAATGGGGATCGAGCCCACAACCCGGGTATGTGCCCTGACGGGAATCAAACCATGACCTCCTGGTTCATAGGTCGACGCTCAATCACTGATCACACCGGCTGGGCTCTTCATATATATTTTTAAGTAGTTAAAAATCATAATACAAATTTAATTTTTATTATTTCTTTTTCCATGTTATAGTCTTTCCAATGAATAGTTTAGTAGTTTCATGATATTCTATTTTTGCT